TTTTTAAGATTTATATATTTATTTGAAAGTTGGAGTTACACAGAGAGAAGGAAGGACAGAGAGAGAGAGAGGTCCTCCATCACTGGCTCACTCTCCAATTGGCTGCAACAGCCAGAGCTGCGCCGATCCAAAGCCAGGATCCAGGAGCTTCCTCCAGGTCTCCCACGTGGGTGCAGGGACCCAAGGACTTGGGCCATCCTCCACTGTTTTCCCAGACCATAGCAGAGAGCTGGATCGAAAGTGGAAAAGCCAGGACTTGAACTGGCACCTCTATGGGATGCTGACACTGCAGGCGGCGGCTTTACCTGCTACGTCACAGTGCCAGCCCCAACCTTTGCTGTTGACTGGGCCACTTTTGTTTTGACTGAGCCACTTTTTTTTTTTTTTTTTTAATTCGAGAGGCAGAGTTACAGAGAGGCAGAGGCAGAGAGAGAGAGAGAGAGGTCTTCCATCCACTGGTTCACTTCTTAGATGGCCACAATGGCCAGAGATGGACTGATCCAAAGCCAGCAGCTTCTTCTGGGCCTCCCATCTGGGTGTAGGGGGTCTAAGGACTTGGGCCATTTTCTGCTTTCCCAGGCCATAGCAAAGAGCTGGTTCGGAAGTGGAGCAGCTGGATCTCAAACTGGTGCCCATATGCGATGCTGGCACTGCCGGCAGCAGCTTTACCCGCTACGCCATAGTGCCAACTTCTAACTGAACCACTTCTGCTGTGTGCTTTGTCTTCAGGATTGTATTGCTAAAGCTATGTATCATCTCCTGTTGGAATTTTTTGAAGAATGTTTCAAGATCTTGATCCCATGTGTGTAAAATTTCCATTTAAAGCTCTGCTCTTGACGGCAGCTGATCTGGCTGCCAAAACAGAAAGTATGTCCAACCTTATGAGCAGAAGTTGAAGTTGATCTCAAAGAAATAGAGAATAGAATAGTGTTCTTACCAAGCCTGAGAAGGGTTTTGGGGAAGGAGTGGATACAGGGTGTATTTGGATAGGAGAAGTAACTTCTTTTTTTTTGACAGGCAGAGTGGATAGTGAGAGAGAGAGACAGAGAGAAAGGTCTTCCTTTTGCCATTGGTTCACCCTCCAATGGCCGCCATGGCTGGCGCGCTGCAGCCGGCGCACTGCGTTGATCTGAAGGCAGGAACCAGGTGCTTTTCCTGGTCTCCCATGCAGGTGCAGGGCCCAAGCACTTGGGCCATCCTCCACTGCACTCCCGGGCCACAGCAGAGAGCTGGCCTGGAAGAGGGGCAACCGGGAAAGAATCCGGCGCCCCAACCGGGACTAGAACCCGGTGTGCCAGCGCCGCTAGGTGGAGGATTAGCCTATTGAGCCGCGGCGCTGGCCAAAGGAGAAGTAACTTCTAATGTTCTATAGCCCAGTAGGATAACTTGGGTTAAAACAGTAATTGAATGTTTCAGAATAATAGGATTTAGAATGTTCCCAACACAAAGAAATGATATATGTCTAAAATGATTTGCCATTTACCCTGATATAATCTTTATATACTCTATAAATATTGAAATGCTATATATATTCCTTATATATATATTCCTTATATATATATAGTATGTACAATTATTCCTTATATATGTACAATATATTAGTTCTTTGCAGATATCTTTACTTGTGTGCCCTTTATTTAAAAATTCATTTTATTGGCTTGTTTACAATCCAGTGTATGCATATATTCATGTAACCATTCCTTTAATATGGAATGTTTGTGTACTTTCCATGTTTTTTCTAAAACAATATTGTAATGAATATCTTTACTGTTGTTAGTCTTTCTGTGTAAGAATTATTAGATTGAGAGTTGGAAGCAGTTACTAAACTTATATGTATCTATCAATATGGAAGCAATTTTTTTATTACTGATACATTCTCAATGAGTAACACTGCCAGGGAGCAGCTTGAAAGTCATAGAGCCTGGCTGGTGCCGCGGCTCACTAGGCTAATCCTCCGCCTGCGGTGCTGGTACTCCAGGTTCTAGTCCTGGTTGGAGCGCCGGTTCTGTCCCGGTTGCCCCTCTTCCAGTCCACCTTTCTGCAGTGGACTAGGAAGGCAGTGGAGGATGGCCCAAGTGCTTGGGCCCTGCACCCGCGTGGGAGACCAGGAGGAAGCACCTGGCTTCTGGCTTCAGATCAGCACAGCGCGCCTGCCGTGGTGGCCATTTTGGGGGTGAACCAACGGAAGGAAGACCTTTCTCTCTGTCTCTCTCTCTCTCACTGTCTAACTCTGCCTAAAAAAAAAAAAGTCATAGAGTCTGTTTAAACAGAGAACATTAACTTGATGTTAAGCTGTTTCTCTCTGTTTTTTTTTTTTTTTTTTTTCAAGATTTATTTTATTTACTTGAAGGGCAGTGTTGGAGAGAGAGAGGGAGAGAGAGAGAGTGGTCTTCCATCTGTTGGTTCACTCCACAAATGGCTATATGGCCAGACTAGGCCAGGCCGAAGCCAGGAGCTTCATCCACGTGGATGTAGGGGCCCAAGGACTTGGACCATCTTCCACTGCTTTCCCGGGCACATTAGCAGGGAGCTGTATTGGAGTAGCTGGGGCTCAAACCGGTGCCCATATGGGATGCTGTTATATACCACAGTGCTGGTCCCAGTGTTAATTTTTTTTTTAAATTAATTTATTTGAAAGGCAGAGTTACAGAGAGGCAGAGGCAGAGAGAGAGAGAGAGGTCTTCCATCCACTGGTTCACTCCCCAGATGGCTGCAATGACTGGAGCTGTGCCAATCCAGAGCCAGGAGCTTCTTCCAGGTCCCATGCAAGTGCAGGGGCCCAAGGACTTGGGCCATCTTCTAGTGCTTTCCCAGGCCATAGCAGAGAGCTGAATGGGAAGTGGAGCAGCTGAACCAATGCCCATATAGGATGCCAGCACTTCAGGCGGCAGCTTTACCTGTCATGCCACAGTGTTAGCCCCAATGTTGTTTAAAAAAGATTCATTTTTATTTATTTGAAAGGCATGGTGATTGGCAGGGAGGAGACAGAGAGGGAGAGAAATCTTTCATCTATTGGTTCACTAGCCAGGTGGCTGCAATGGCTAGTGCTGGGCTAGGCAGAAGCCAGGAGCCAGAAGCCAGGACCTCCATCCAAGTCTCCCACATGAGTGGTAGGGCCCAAGCAGTTGGGCTGTCATTCACTTCTGTTTCCCAGGCACGCTGGCTGGGAGGCAGGAGCCAACCGGCAGGAGCTGGAACCCGTGCTCGTATAGGATGCTGTTGGTGTTTTTCTAGTCTTTGTTTACAAATATTAGAGATGAAAAATAGCAGAGATGTGAACCTTGTTGTGGTGTTCATGATAATCTCTTCTGGAGCTTACCAGTTCTTGTATTTAAGAAGTGCTTCCTTTTGTCTGGGTGTATATATGCACCTGTTTCCTGTAGAACAGAGAGACTACTATAGAGTGGATTTTTGTTTGTTTGTTTGTTTATTCCTTTTAAAAAAATCCTTTATAGACTGAATAATAATGCTAGTTACAAGTCACATTTGAATTATGTTTCATTGGTTATAAAGCACTTTGTTATGTATTTTTTAACTTATTCTTTTAAAGATTTATTTTTATTTATTTGAAAGAGTTAACAGAGACAGGTGGAGAGGAGAGAGAGATGTCTTCCATCCTCTGGTTCATTCCCCAAATGGCCACAACACCCAGAGTTGAGCTGATCCGAAGCCAGGAGCTAGTAGCTTCTTCTGGGTCTCCCACGTAGGTGCAGGGGCCCAAGCACTTGAGCCATCCTTTGCTGCTTTCCCAGGCACATTAGCAGGGAGCTGGATCAGAAGTGGAGCAGCTGGGACTCGAACCGGTGCCCGTATTGGATGCTGGCACTGTAGGCTAGAGCTTTAACCTACTCTACCACAGTGCTGGCCCCATCTTTCATTTTGTTTTAAAATTTATTTATTTAAAAGGCAGAGTGATGGGACTAGAACTATAGTGTAGCAGGTAAAGCTGTCTCCTGCAGTGCTGGCATCCATATGGGCACCGGTTCAAGTCCCGGCTGCTCCGCTTCCCATCCAGCTCTCTGCTATGGCCTAGGAAAGCAGTAGAAGATGGCCCAAGTCCTTGGGCCTCTGCACCCATATGGGAGACCTGGAAGAAGCTTTGGCTCCTGGATTCAGATCATTGCAGCTCTAAGCATTGTGGCCAGCTGGGGAGTGAACCAGCAGATGGAAAACCTCTCTTTCTTGTGCGCTCTCTCTCTGCCTCTCCTTCTGTCTGTTAACTCTGACTTTCAAATAAATAAATAAATGTTTAAAAGGAAAAAAAAAAAAGGCAGAGTGACAAGGAGAGAATGAGAGCAAGGGGGATGTTCCATTTTCTGGATGGCTGCAACAGCCAGGTCTGGGCCAGGCTGAAGCCAGGAAGGAGCCTAGGACTCTGTCCTGGTCTTCCATATGGGTAGCAGGGGCCTAGGCACTTTGGCCATATTGTGCTGCTTTTCCAGAAGGTGCATTAGCAGGGAGCCAGATCAAATACAGAACAGTTGGAATTCAAATCTGCACTCAGTCTGGTCTGCCAGTGTCACAAGCATGGCTTTACCTGCCATACCACAATGCCAGCTTGCAAAGCTAGGATTTCTGCTGTATTACCTGGGAAGTATATACAGTAATGATTAATGCTGCAGCTTCTAGGCCTAGAGTGCTTATCTTTAAAGCATTAATGTCACTTACTGGATCTTGGAAAAGTTTTTTAACTTCTCTGCCTTCATTTTCTTATGTGGATTGTGTGAAAATAATAATCATGACTTACTCATTGGAAGAAGTGAATTAATATCTAGTATGTAGAAGAGTGCTTGACATCAAATATTCAGTGAATGTTAGCTGTTGTGACTACTGTAGAATGAATACCCCCTCCACTGGTTACCACCACTGCCTTATCATAGTTTTTGATTTCCAGAACCAGACAGCTACCAGCTTGATTTTCTTTTACTATTGGCGTTTGGGGCTGTGTTCCTGGAGCAGCCATTTTGAAGATTCTGGTGATGTTCTTGGTTTATTTGCAGAACAAGACAGTGGAGAAAGTGAGAAAAGGAGAAAAAAGAAGAAAGGTACCAAGAGGAAACGAGATGGAAAGGGTCAAGAAGAAGGGACCTTGGCTTATGACCTGAAACTAGATGACATGCTTGACCGCACCTTGGAGGATGGTGCCAAGCAGCATAACCTAACGGCAGTCAATGTTCGGAACATCCTTCATGTGAGCAAAACTGGGCCAGTTGTGTAATTGGAATGGAATCTTTTCATGCAAAGCACAGAAAAATACTCAACAAATTTTTTTTTTTTTTTTTTAAGATTTATTTATTTATTCTGAAAGAGTTACAAAGGAAGGAAAAGACAGAGATCTTCCATCTGCTGGTTTACTCGCCAGATGGCTGCAGTAGCCAGTCCTGGCTGGCCAGGCCGAAGATAGGAGCCAGGAACATCATCCAGCTCTCCCAGCATGTGTGCAAGGGCCCAAACACTTGGGCTATTTTCTGCTACCTTCCCCAGGCCATTAGCAGGGAGCTTGATGAGGAGTAGAGCAGACATTACATGAACTGGTGCCAATATGGAATGCTGGTATTAAAGGCAGCAACTTTACCTGCTATGCCACAGGCCAGCCCCCTCAGCAAAAATTTCACTTCTGTTTTCTGCATTACTGATTTTATGGATTTACCTGACATTACATGTGAATCTTAATTCTTTAATCTAGGATCTTGCCTCCCACAGAGACAAGAATTCTAAACAGAGGCATAGTAACATGCACAAGTGAGAACAGGATTTATTTCTAAGTGAGAGAATGAATGTACATTCACACGTGAGTGTGGGCCACCCCACACTGAGAAATACCTGTCATGAGTGTGCCAGAGGCTTGCCCATGAAAGAAAGAGATAGGGAGAGAGAAGGAAAAGTATCTCCAAGTGTGGTCCATGGCTAAAAGAACCTTCTCCCTCCCTCCCCTTTCTCAGCTTGTTTTATAAGGTGGGGGTGGTACCGCTTTAATCGGATAAACAAACAAGGTGGTTTCTTAGCATGATTGAAGCCTTTTGGGATACTCTCATGTAGAATTTAAATTCCATGTGGTCATGATTGTGTCTCGTTCAGGTTCTGGATGAGATGCGGGTGTACATTCTGGGAAGGTGGGTGAATAAAGCTGACAGTTAAAGAGATAACCATTATATTGCAGGGCTGCAAGAATTCAGGCTCACCTAAACCTGATTAATGGCCTAATTATTACCATGGCAACAAAACATTTTATATTTCAATATAGCTTTCTCTTTTACTTAGCACAGTGTGAAATCTGAACATGGTGTTCAAAAAGAGCTAAATTGAAAAGATAAGCCATCGCTCTGCTTCCTTCTTGAGTGTTTATTGTTTAGCATATTTGAAGATGGTAATGTCCATGGTGGATTTGCTCTTCTATGAGATCTGATGAGCTGTCCAGTTAGTAGTTCTCCTATAGTACTTTGCCCATATGAAAATGTTGTTCTTGATATGTAAGTGTTTGTAGAGTCCTTGCTGTTTGTTACTCTTTTATGCATACTCTATGTGAGCCATTACTGTTTCTAGCGCTGCTGATGAGATGAGTCCATTTGCTGCTGCATCTGTCAAGCTGTACACTTCTGCCAAAACTTGGCTTCTTCTTTACTTTCAGTTGCCTTACCTCACCCAGCTAGCTGTCATTTATCACGTGCATATGTGTAGCAGAGTTCCTTAGAGATGCATATTGTCTAGATGACAAGCCCTTGTTGCTTAAAGTGAAATTTCATCTTTCTCCAGGAAGTAATCACAAATGAGCACGTGGTAGCTATGATGAAAGCAGCCATCAGTGAGACAGAAGACATGCCAATGTTTGTGAGTAGTTGATTGTTACTCTTTAGATCTCATGGAATAGAGTTATCTATAAACTGGCGAAGTATAGGAAGTCACTTGGGAAGTTATAACGAATTTGATGTCTGGTGGCAACATTAGCATCTCAAAACCCAACTGTCACACTGGGATTTTTTTTTTACTGACTGTTTTCTTCCTATTTCCCCTAACATAGGAGCCTAAGATGACACGCTCTAAGCTGAAGGAAGTGGTGGAGAAAGGAGTGGTGAGTGCTCTGGTTTTTTTTATTTAGCATAGTAAATAGATTCTAATTCCAGGTTATTCATCTGGAAAAAATATAGGCAAAATTGTGGTTGAATTTGCCTCATTAAAGAATTATTTGTGAAAAGCAGGTAGAAAAGGAATATATAAAATGGTTATCATAGGCCTGCATCCCTCATGGGTGCTGTGGGCTCCTAGCTGTTCTGCTTCCAGAGGAAGATGGCCTGATTGCTTGGGCCCCTGCCACCAATGTGGCAGACCTACATGGAGTTTCTGGCTCCTAGCTTCTGCCTTGCCCAGCCCTGGCTTTTGTGGCCATTTGTGGAGTGAACCAGCAGATGGAAGATATCTCTCTCTCTCTCTCTCTTTCTTTCTGCCTTTGTCTTTGTAATTCTGCTTTTCGAGTAAGTTAATACATGTGTAATAATAATACATCTAACCCTGAAAGGCAGGGTTAGAGAGCCGAGAGAGAGAATGAGATCTTCATTCCTGGTTCACTCCCAAAATGGTCTCAAGGGCCAGGGCTCGGCTGGGCCAGGCTGAAGCTAGGAGCCTGGAATTCCAGCCAAATGCCTTACGTGGGTGGCAGGGGCCCAAGAATTCAGGTGATCTTCTGCTGCAAGGAGCTAGATAAGAAGTGGAGTAGCTAGAACTGAAACCAGTGCTCATATGGAATCATGGGGTGCTGATTATCACAGGCAGTGACTTAACCCAGATGAGCAGTGGTGGCAGTGGGAGTTGAGGGGTGGTGGTGGAGAGGAGTGCCAAGAAATAGATTCTTTTTCTTCCATCAAGCTTTGACAGGATTTGAGAACATGCCCTCAGGGATAGCCAGTATCTGTAGATCTCTGCAGCTGTTTGTTAATTAGATAACTTTTGTGATGGTAAAGAAGAGATAAAAATGACAAGCAATGTAGCTAGTGAGATAATTATTTATATTCTTTCTTGATAGGTAATTCCAACATGGAATATTTCACCAATTAAAAAGGCCAATGAAATTAAGGTAAACTTGAAAATGGCAATTGTTATTCTTTTCCAGAAAGACTTCATCAACTTTGAAACCCAAGTGCTTCCTTTCTTTTGTTAACATTTTTTTTGGCCTATCTTTCTTTAATTCCGGCTTTGGATTTTTCCATTCCATTTTTCTTAGATTCGCATCACACAGACTTATTTTAACCCTGCCTCATATAATTTGCTTTAGCACATTACACATCTTAGGATTTGTTTTTCTGCCCTGCTTTCCCCCCTTATTTTCCAAATATGTGTGTTTTGTGTTTCCCATCATTCCTCCATTTCTTTCTAATTATCCTAATGTAGCCGCCTCAGTTTGTGGATATCCACCTTGAAGAAGATGACTCCTCAGATGAAGAGTACCAGCCAGATGATGAAGAGGAAGATGAGACTGCCGAAGAGGTAAGTAGGTATCTGTTGGTGATAAGAAGAAATTTGGCTTAAGCAATAAGGTGTACTCTGCATCCCTGGTTATGTTACCTGTTCTGTAGAAAGGATTCAGGCATTATCGTTTTTTTGCTATGAGGTGTTTTTCTGCTCTTCATACTTACTTAATGTTTTCTTTTTTTACCTATTATATTATGAAATATAACACAGAAATGTGCACAGAATAAAATTTAGTTTATATGATTATAATGCGAATCTTCATGAAGCTTCCTCCTACAGCAAGAATTATAACATTACCAGGATAACTCCTCTGTGCCCTTCCCTGTCAGAATGACCTCCCATCACCCAAAGATAATCACTATCCTGATTTTTTTTGGGTAATTGTTTCCATGCTTTTCTTTATGGTTATGACATTTAAATATGCATCTCTATACCTGTAGCTCAGTTTTGATTGTTTTCAAACTTTTTATATAAATGGACTGAGAGTGTGTTTGTTTTTGTTCCTGACTTTTTTTTTGTTCAACATTATGCTTTTGAAGTTTGTCTGTATTATCACTTACAGCCTTATTCATTTTCATTGCTTCATTAATATTTTCTTTGACCTGTTCATTAATGTGTTCTTGGACTTATTTGTAAAAGGACTTTAAACTATTGGCTTATACTTTTACAGAGTTAAAATGCAAATGAAGATAATGATCTGATCACTGTCCCCCCCTAAAAGATATTAAACTTCTATTTAAGTTTTATTTTCTCTTTACTTGGACAAATTGAGTGATTGATTTTTGTGATTCTCTTGCAATACTTCAAAGTCAGTGAATTGAGGCAGGGGGCATAAATATAAAAGTGAACTGGACTTTTTTTTATAGAGCTTGCTGGAAAGTGATGTTGAAAGCACTGCTTCATCTCCACGAGGGGCAAAGAAATCCAGATTGAGGCAGTCTTCTGAGATGACTGAGACAGACGAGGAGAGTGGCCTGTTACCAGAGGTAAATCAGCACCTTACAACGGGGATGAGGTTGATGTTGCTGTAAAGTTAGATTGTTTATTTGTGATGATTCTGGGCTGTCATTGTTTTTCAAAGTCTCTTATGTCATTGAACAATTATGTAATAAGGGAGAGCTTTTCTGAGTTCTCATCCAAAAATGTGGAACCAGCAGTTTCTTTTCTTCTACTTTTTTCTTCTCTCATACCATAATGTTGTCCTAAAGCATTTTTATTAGGTTCTGAGCTTTTTGTAACTTAAGTAACATTCTGTTGGTTTCCCTGGAAATAATATGAAACCTAGTTAGGTTAGTCTAGTACTTGACAGTACTTTAGTTTGCAAAGGAAAGGATCAGTAGTATCTGGAAGTATGGAAGGCCCTCTTCTTTCTTGCCTGTCCCCCCCCCCCCCCCATCTCTCCTTTTTTTTTTTGTCTCTTTCAATCAGGCTGAGAAAGTTACCACACCTGCCATTAGGCACATCAGTGCTGAGGTGGTACCCATGGGGCCCCCGCCCCCTCCCAAGCCAAAACAGACTAGGGATAGCACTTTCATGGAGAAGCTGCACGCGGTAGATGAAGAGCTGGCTTCCAGTCCAGTCTGCATGGATTCTTTCCAGGTAAACCTTGTAACTAAATCACTGAGAAAGTCCAATGTAGTAATTTAGCTGTTGCTCAGATGGACAAGAAAGAGGGATAAATACTACATTCTTATATAACAAGTAAGAGCCCTGAAACTGTCAGTTCTTTTTCAAGGTTTATTTATTTGAAAGGCTAAATGACAGAGAGGGAAAGAAAGATGTCTTCCTTATACTAGTTCAATCCCCAAATGCCTACAATAGCCGTGAATGGAGCAGGCTGAAGCCAGGAAGCAGGAACTCCATCTGGGTTGTAGGTGGGAGGAACCCAAGTACTTGGGCCATCATTCACTTTCTTCTAGGCACATTAGTGGAAAGCTATATTGGAAATGGAGGTGAGGCTTGATTCTAGAATCTGGTAGAGGATGCGGGTGTCCCAAGCAGTGGATTAACTCACTGTTGCTCCACAATGCCAACCCCAAATCGTTAGATACTCTGTTCGGTTTGTGTTATTTAATGTTAAGTAATAATGGCATTCTTTCTAAGGAAGGCATAAAGTATGCTTAGAGACCATCTTAAAATGTGAAACAGGAGCAACATCACCTAGATTAACCTGTATTAACCTTTTACCACAGTGGCTTTATCATTCTCTTTGTCTATACACACATTTATTTTTCTAAATAATTTTAGAGTATAGTTATAGTTTTTTTTTTTTTAAGATTTATTTATTTATTTGAAAGGCAGAGTTATAGAGAGGCAGAGAGGAGGTCCTCCATCCACTGGTTCACTCCCCAGATAGCCACAATGGCTGGAGCTGTGCTGATCTGCAGCTAGGAGCTTCATTGGGGTCTCCCACACGGGTACAGAGGCCCAAGGACTTGAGCCATCTTCTCCTGCTTTCCCAGGCCATAGCAGAGAACTGGATCAGAAGTGAAGCAGCTGGGACTCGAACCAGCCGCCCATATGAGATGCTGGCACTGTAGGCCATGGCTTTACCCACTGTGTTACAGCGCCAGTGCCTATATGTTACAGTTATAATTTTCTTCTACCCCTAAGTGCTTATATTATGTATTTCCTAAAATTGAGTCCATTCTCTTATGTTATCATATAGTACAATTATCAAAATTAGATATCTGATCAGATTACCCTCTCAGATTTCCCAGTTTCAATAATGCCCTTTTTTTTTTTTTAAAAGATTTATTTTATTTATTTGAAAGAGTTACAGAGAGAGGTAGAGACAGAGAGAGAGGACTTCCATCCACTGGTTCACTCTCCAGATGGCTGCAATGGCTGGAGCTGTGCCAGTCCGAAGCCAGGAGCCAGGAGCTTCTTGTGGGTCTCCCAAGTGGGTGCAGGGACCCAAGGGCTTGGGCCATCTTCTCCTGCTTTCCTAGGCGATAGCAGAGAGCTGGATCGGAAGAGGAGCAGCCGGACTAGAACCAGCGCCCCTATGGGATGCTGGCGCTTCAGGCCAGGCCTTTAACCCGCTGTGCACAGCCTTGGTCCCTCAATAATACCCTTTATAGCTAAAGGGTGAATTTTATGGCATATGAATTATGTATCAATAGAGCCATTGTGTTTCTGAAATACTGGTTTCAAACTGATGTAATTTTTCTTAAAATTTCTGAAACAATAGTAAACCCAAATTGTTTACAGCAGAAATTTTGTGGTTTAAAGTAGGATAATCACAGAGCACTTAATGAGATTTAGAGAATTTGGAAGCCTTATTCACTCAGTGACTTTTTTCCCCTCTGTTGCTTAGCCCATGGATGACAGTCTCATTGCATTCCGCACCCGTTCTAAGATGCCCCTGAAAGATGTTCCCCTGGGCCAGCTGGAGGCGGAGCTCCGAGCTCCTGACATTACTCCTGATATGTATGACCCCAACACAGCAGACGATGAGGACTGGAAGATGTGGCTGGGGGGACTGATGAATGATGATGTGGGGAATGAGGGTGAGTGTCTCGTTTACATTTACTCCATCTGTATAGTAAAATTTTCATTAATTGAAAGCTTAAAAATGAAGTGTTTTGGGTTTATTGCTTTTAATTTGCATTTAACATAATTCGCCTTAAATCAATAGTTAATTTTCTTTTTTTCATTCTGAATTTCTTTGGGAATCTTTTGAATGTCAAATATCTTCCCTTGAAACATAAATGTAGTTACCACAATTTTATTTTTATTTGAAAGAGTTAGCAGAAAAGAGAGACAGAGAGAGATATCTTCCATCTGCTGGTTCAATCTCCAAATGGTTGCAATGGCCAGGTCTAGACCATGCCAATGCCAGGAACCCAGAACTCCATCTGGGTCTCCCATGTGAGTGGCAGGGGTCTAAGTATGTGAACCATCTTCCTCTGCCTTCCTAGGCTCATTAGCAGGTGGAGTGACCAGGACTTGATCCAGCACTCATATGGTATGTTGGCATTGCAGGTTACAGCTTTAACTCTTGAGTGCCATATTTTTTTGCAATATAATTTTATCTATGAAATCATGAGATTATAGTAGTATATCAAAATATTATGTCAATTAAGGGTCTTTGTGACACAGGTGGAAGTATCCTAACTATCTTGATGAAGTCAAGTAAAATCAGACTTTGAGAATAGCACAATAACCTACAGTAGGGGTGGGAGTTTGGCACAGCATTTAGGCTGCTGCTTGGGACTCCTGCCTTCCGTATGTGAATGCCTGGGTTCATGTCCTGGCTCTATTTTTGCTTCTTGCTTCCTGCTAACGTGAACCCCAGGAGGCAGCAGGTGATGGCCCAAATAGGTAGCTCCCTGCCACCTTTGTAAGAGACCTGGATTGAGTTCCTGACTCCTGGTTTCAGCCTGGCCTAGACCCAACTGTTGCAGGTATTTGGGGATGAACCAGTGGATGGAAGATATCTTTATGTGTCTTTCCTTTTTTGAAAACAGTGACTAGGAAGAAAGGAGGCAAATGTATGGAATTGACGTGAGTTAGTGTGGTAGCTAATGCAGGATATATACTCTAGAGTTTTTTTTTGTTTCTCTGTTTTAAGAGTAATACATGTGGCCGGCGCCGCGGCTCACTAGGCTAATCCTCCGCCTAGCGGCGCCGGCACACCAGGTTCTAGTCCCAGTCGGGGCGCCAGATTCTGTCCCAGTTGCCCCTCTTCCAGGCCAGCTCTCTGCTGTGGCCAGGGAGTGCAGTGGAGGATGGCCCAAGTGCTTGGGCCCTGCACCCCATGGGAGACCAGGAAAAGCACCTGGCTCCTGGCTCCTGCCATCGGATCAGCGCAGTGCGCCGGCCGCAGCGCGTCGGCCGCGGCAGCCATTGGAGGGTAAACCAACGGCAAAGGAAGACCTTTCTCTCTGTCTCTCTCTCTCACTGTCCACTCTGCCTGTCAAAAAAAAAAAAAAAAAAAGAGTGATACATGTGGTTGGTATAAAGAAAATACTTACATTGTATAAAGAAAATTATTAATTTATTTGAAAGGCAGAGTTACAGAGAGAGAGTGAGAAAGATTGTTCTTCTGCTGGTTTGCTCACCAAATGGCTCCAGGGAACTGGATTGGAAGTGGAGTATCCAGGACTTGAACCATCGCTCATGGCATTCTGGCGTTGCAAGTGGTGGGTTAGCCCCCTGCACCACAACATCAGTCCCCTGTTATTCTTTCTCATATGAGTCTGGACTTCAGAGTTTTCTGTTACCCACCCATACTTTTGTATGCAGCTATCCCCTGGAAAAATGTACCTATCTACATAAATGAAACTTAAGAAAAAGCTATTAGTTTTTATTTATTTGAAAGGCTGAGAGACAGAGACAGACAAACAGCTTCCATCCATTGGTTTACTCCCAAAATGCCCAAAATAGCAGGCCAGGCCGAAGCCAGTAGCCTGGAACTCACTTGCTGCCTCCTAGGATGTGTAAAATTGGAAGGAAGCTCAGCTGGAACACAAACCCAGGACCCAGTTTAATATATTTTTTTTAAGATTTATGTATGTATTTGAAAGTCAGAGTTACACAGAGAGAGAAGCCTTCCATGCACTGGTTCACTCCCTAACTGGCCGCAAAAACCAGAGCTGGGCCGATCTGAAGCCAGTGTCCAGGCCCAAGGACTTGAGCCATCCTCTACCAGTCTCCCAGGCCACAGCAGAGAGCTGGATTGGAAGTGGAGCAGCTGGGACTCCAACTGGTGCCCATATGGGATGCTGGCACCGCAGGCGGAGGCTTTAACACAATACACCACAGCGCCAGCCCTCCAGTTTAACATTCTGAGAACATGTCTCAGTCAGAGGTCTCATAGGAAACTAAACCACCATTCTTTATTTATTTTTCAAAGATTTATCCATTTACCTGAAAGAGCCACACAAAGAGAGGAGAGGCAGACAGAGAGAGAGAGAGAGAGAGGTCTTCCATCCGCTAGTTCACTCCCCAGTTGGCTGCGATGGCTGGAGCGGTGCTGATCCAAAGCCAGTAGCCAGGAGCTTCCCCCAGGTCCCCCATGTGGGCACAGGGGCACAAGGACTTGGGCCATCATCCACTGCCCTCCCAGGCCACAGCAGAGAGCCAGACCAGAAGTGGAGCAGCCCAGCCTCAAACTGGTGCCCACATGGGATGCTAATGCCTCAGGCCAGGGCATTAACCTGCCATGTCACAGTGCTGGCCCCCACCATTTTTTAAAAAATTTGTTTTTTAAAAAGTTATTTTTATTTTGTTTGAAAGAGAAAGTGTGTATGTGTGCGCGTGCATGAACAGAGAGAGAGAGAGACATATTAGGTCAGTTTGAAACTAGGAGTCAGGTGTTGTACAGTGTAATATTTTATCCATTTTAGTATTTTCTCTTTGTTTTGTTCTAGTACTATTGGTTGAACTCTGTAATTAACACACAATTATTCTTAGGTGTTTAAATTTTAACTGAAAAGTGATCCCTGTTAAATATAAGAGTGGGAATAAAAGAGGGAGGAGACGTACAATTTGGGACATGCTCAATCGGACTTGCCCCAAATGGTGGAGTTAGAATCATGCCAGGGGATCCCAATACAATCCCATCAATGTGGCATGTACCAATGCCATCTCACTAGTCCAAGTGATCAATTTCAGTTCACAATTGATCACACTGATAGGTCTAAGAATCAAAGGAATCACACAAACAAGACTAGTGTCTGCTAATACTAGCTGATAGAATAAAAAAGGGAGAGAACGATCCATCATGAGAAGCGGGATACACAGTAGACTCATAGAATGGCAGATGTCCTAAATAGCACTCTGGCCTCAGAATCAGCCCTTAAGGCATTTGGATATGGCTGAAGAGCCCATGAGAGTATTTTAGGCATGGAAAGCCAAGACACCCTGGAAAAAAAAAAAAAAAAAGAAGAAGAAGACTTAAATGGAAGATCTCTGTGAGTGAGATCCCAGTGGAAAGAATGGGGCCATCAAAGAAGGAGGTACCTTTCTCTGAAGGGAGGAGAGAACTTCCACTTTGACTATGACCCTGTCAGTGTAAGACGAAGTTGGCGAACTTAAAAGGCTTCCATAGCCTTGGTGACTCATGACTAGAGCCTAGGGAGATTACTGACGCCATAAACAAGAGTGTCAAATTGTTAAGTCAACAGCAGGAGTCACCGTGTACTTACTTCTCATGTGGGATCTGTCCTTAGTGTGTTGTCCAATGTGAAGTAATGCTATAACTAGTACTGAAATAGTATTTTACACTTTGTGTTTCTGTGTGGGTGCAAACTGATGAAATCTTTACTTAATATTTACTGAATTGATCTTCTGTATATAAAGATAATTGAAAATGAATCTTGATGTGAATGGAATGGGAGAGGGAGCGGGAGATGGGAGGGGTATGAGTGGGAGGGAAATTATGGGGGGGAAGCCATTGTAATCCATTAACTGTACTTTGAAAATTTATATTTACTAAATAAAAGATAAAAAAAAAAAAAGAAGCTAGGGGTCAGGAACTCAGTCTGGGTTTCCCACATGGGTGGCAGGAACTCCACTACTCAGCTGCCTCCCAGGGTGTGACTTAGCACAAAGCTGGAATCAGTAGCCAAGATGGGACTCAAACCCGGGTATTCTGATATGGCATGTGACAGTCTGAAACTGTGACTTGACTTCTGCACCAGTTGCCTGCCCCTAAATCATTTTCTTTAAAAAAGGATGTAACTTTTCATAAGCAAGCTCTGCTTCCTGGCTTTGGCCTAGGATAGTACAAAGTACTGCTAGGAAATCCAGAGAGTTCTGATAGTCTTAGTAGTAGTAGCTGCTTTGTTCCTCATTTTTATCACATTGGTTCAAAGAGCTGAGACGGTAGCTATTTGGGGGAAAGGCCAGAGGGAGTTGGCTTTCAGGATTTGGGGAGTCTAGGGTAATGTTTCTCACGGTGATTCATAGCACTTGAAATCAGAATTGGCATTTAAAGATGTATTTGTTGGGTGGTGGTTACTAAAGATGTAGATTCCAGGGCTGCCTCTCCAGTCTTCTCAATCAGATTCTGTTGGGTATGATCTAGGAATCCAATTCTTATGTATCCTAAAGATTGGAAATATATTGGTCTAGGAAACGTGAAAGTATATGATGGAAATGAACAGATGGGTAGGAGGAGGGTGAAACACTTGGTTTTTTTTTTTTTTTTTTTTGACAGGTAGAGTGGATAGTGAGAGAGAGAGAGACAGAGAGAAAGGTCTTCCTTTTTTGCTGTTGGTTCACCCTCCAATGGCCGCCACAGCTGGCGTGCTGTGGCCGGCGCACCGCGCTGATCTGAAGGCAGGAGCCAGGTGCTTCTCCTGGTCTCCCATGGGGTGCAGGGCCCAAGCACTTGGGCCATCCTCCACTGCCTTCCCTGGCCACAGCAGAGAGCTGGCCTGGAAGAGGGGCAACCGGGAAAGAATCCGGCGCCCCGACCGGGACTAGAACCCAGTGTGCCGGCGCCACAAGGCGGAGGATTAGCCTATTGAGCTGCGGTGCCGGCCTTGATTTTTTTTAGAAG